GACCTACGTGTGACCTCGATAACAATAATTATGAAACTTGGTCGCGATAGTGAAAGTATCGTGTACAGGACGTTTCATAATCGAGCGCGCGCGAGCGACGCGTCGTTCTCCGTCGAATTCGTCATATCGTTTCGTCCGAGGCGAAAGGCAAATCTCTTTCCGCACATCGTCCGCTATACGTCAAATGTCCACGAAGGAAGGTACCGAGCGACACGCAGCTCAGAAGAAGGTTCGCCTCGCACGCGGAGAGAAATTGGTTTGTCTTGGTGAAAAGTGAAATCGGCGAAACAGTTGCGAGACGTTAAATGGACTTAGAAAAAGATATGGGTGTGAAACGCGATCGATGTATGAAAGTAAACGCGAGAATATGCTACACACCGTTGGTATCTAACGAAGCTAATTATTGTAGGTCTCGTAAAAAATATTCAGTAGTCATTCTCGTTGAGAATGCACAGAAAAAAATTAGTCTTAAATCAACAATAGATTTTCATATATAAGCAAGAATATTATAAATCTTATTATATAAATCATATTCTGTAAATAATAGATTCGCGGTATTTGGAGAAAAAACGCCATGTGAAAATTTTCCAACATCCACGAGATGAGATCGCGTGTGTCGTTCTCGTGGACGATATCGATGAGGATCGCTTCCGCGTCATAAAGAAATTCCGATGAAATTCGGGAAGATGAAATCTTTCGCGACGGGATCTGTCTGATTATTCCGTAAATTTTGGGGAATTTCTTACAAATCGTAAATTTGGCGTCACCCACGCCGTGTGATTTGTACACCGCGGAGAACCATGACAATTTTACAACTTTCACCCACGCGAGCGTGTATGACTCCTCATTCACTTAAAAATCCGAGAGAAACCCGATCTATCATCGTAAAAGCAAAACGCGACGTGAGGTGAAAATTGTTCTCTCTGGAGTACTCGACGTTTTCATCGAGAGAGAGAGAGAGAGAGAGAGAGAGAGAGTTTTCCGACAGAAAGAAGGCGTGTTTTCGTATAATATTCACTGCCAGTACTGGAAATCTACAGTTCATGTTATGCATTACGTGTCATTTGACCTTGACGTCTCCACCCAGAGTCAAACTGATAAGATCAACAAACAGATTGCTTTAAACTCCACAACTTTTATATAAAAGACTTTCGACCCACCTGTATAAACTCTATACGTAATTTTCTTTGTGTCTAACAAAGAAAGATCTCTTCTCATTGAGATTTAGCGGATTCGCTTATGTGATTTATATTGCAACCGCAATGTGTGAATCGTGCGCGAAAATAAATAACGCTGCGCCATCTATTCGCGCACCTCGGAAATTATCCTCGCGACGATATGCCACTTTGTAGGTATCGTAGATCACTGTTGTGATATCGCGAAAACACGTTATTCGACGCGTCGTTAAACTTGTCGAGCCTGAAATGTTGATTTTCGATTTTGGTTAAACTAAACCGCATCCGGTTGCGCGATTTTTTTAATATGAATCATTAATGTGATTAATACTTTTTTTTTTAATATAAATCATTTCTTTTCACAGTAGCAACACAAAAATTGCAAGAAAAACAGTGAGATTTTCACTGTCTAATGCAGATAAACTTTGCAGCGTGTGATTATATAGAACACGTCTATATATACTGTTTCGTGTCCTTTTTTGTAGCAACTCAAGATCTGTACACATATAGGATAAGTCTTTTATGATGCCAATTATCAAGCTTATGATAATATTTTGAAAAACTTGAGAGCAGTCAACAAGTCCTATCAAATGCGCTCTATCTTTACAAAGATTACACTGAATGTCAGAGAACCAAAGAAATAAAGAGACACACACACAGAGGTGGAGACTTCTGTCAAACGCACATGTTCTGTTACAATTACACATAGCTGTGCACAGCGTTCTCTCTGATACAGTGTGTAACAACGACAAGTATGTATGCAATCAAAGTTGTCATTCGACACAGGCGCAAACAACAGAGAGAGACTCAGAGATACATACACCCTTCCTTGTCAGGAACGGTTTTAAAGAAACAAATCAGCACTGATGTGCTCCACTGTCTTTTCAAAGGGGACAAAAGCACAATTCGAATCACTCACCTTACACGCGGACGCAGCCAGTTTACACAACGGATCGACGAAGTTACATGGACGCTTCAGATATGAACTGCAAAAAAACGGATTTGAATTACCACTGAGTAACCACTTTTTCCCATCTTGTGTGTTTATTTTGATCGGTATTCGAAATCAACTTCAATTACTCGGGCAAAAATAAATAAACGAATAAACGGAACCTGTCCCGGCATATTTACTTATATACTTATACTAATGTGTATGTGTGTGTGTGTGTGTGTGTGTAGCAAGCTATTCCCTCCTTCACAATCTTGCTTTAAAATATAAGCAGTAATCAAATTGACCAACCACGGTCGTTTCTTGGAAGAATAATCGATGGTGATTGGTCAATTTGTCTGATGCTCACGTTTTGAAGCAAGATCGTGGAAGCAAGGGGTGAAACGGCGATTCCACAGATTTATTTAACCGGACACGAAACCGCGATGGTAAAAACTGTCAAGCAGCAAAGGAAAAGTGACGAGAGAGTCGGACAGACCGATACGATCGCCGTCTTCTGTCGGTAACCTGACAACAATGACCTTCGTGTCATTACTCAACGGCCGATTTTAACAGCAACTTCACGGCTATGAACCGGGGTCTACAGTGAGAATTTAAGACGCAAGATTTAAGAAATTAACCAATCGCAGTCGAATTATAGAAGAAAAGTCAATTATGATTGGTCGATCTCTTAAATCTTACATCTTAAATTCTCATCGTAGACTCCGCTCGAGGAAAACAAAGGAAAAATCCGAGAGGCCTCTTACGTACGGAAAAAAATCGTTACCTTTTCACCCGTACGAAACCAAGAGGACCTGACGCGAGATGAGAGGTTAGAAAAATTGGCTCAGCGTTGGCGTTCGCGATAACCAGACGGAAGCGACGATCTTTCACGAAAACGAAAACGCGCCCGTCAACGACCGACTTGACACTCGCCGATGTTCCGTAGATACTTGACGAACAACATCGCGGCTCCTTCGCAAACAGAAACGCGCACGCCGCTACTCCATGACGCGACCGCGGCGGCTCTCTCTCACACTCATTCACTCACTCGTTCTATATGCCCTCTCACTCTCTCTCACTATCTCTAACTCACTCATTCCTTCAACCATCCTTCTCGCTCCTTCTCTCTCTCACTCGCCGAGCGTAATACGAGCTTTCATCGAAAGTCAAGGCTGCGCGCATACACTTGTGACTTACCAGCTTAAGGTCAGAGCGGTCAGAGCGGGACGTTCGTTGTTTACTGTTGGCGTCGTCGATTGGCACAAGCGACAGATTCACGTATGACGCGTGGACACGCGAGACTGAAATAGTCGCGTCACACACACGTGGGCGAATATTCGTGCGAGAAAACTCCTGATTACGGATATCGCGACGCGACGATTCGCACGATCGGCAGCGGCGGCGAAGCACACGACGCGACTTGCGTTCCGGCGCTCCTCAGTCGCGAGTTTCGAGACTCCGACGAGAAGTAACTGTTGATCGAATTCAAACCTCGCGAATTCGTCGAAACGGAACGCGTCGATCGCGAATGATCGAGATTGAGCGTCGATCGATGGGACGAACATTTCACATCGCGCGCGCACGCGCTAAAGCCCGTATCAGACTACGGATTGGAGATTGAGATTCAATTGAAATTTGACCAATCGGCGACGAATCAGCGAATGAAGTTCACTAAATTTCACTAAGCTGGAGTTTAATTAACTTTGCACTGATTGGCCAAATTCAATTCAATCCTAATCTCTAATCCGTAGTTTGATACCGGTTTTATGGCGTTCACGATCAGCTATTCGAACGATTCGATGACCGTCCGCAATAATTCCCATAATGTCGTTCAGTCCTAGTTTACAATAGATGCTTTAAGCTTTAAGAAATTGACCAATCACATTATTCTTCTATAATTCAATTGTGATTGGTCAATTTTTTAAGGCTTGAAACATCTATTGTAGATTAGGACTCGATCTTCTCGTTCACTTCGACGCTCTCTCAACAAAACTAAAGGCCCGTATTTTGAACTCGCTTTTATCGATAAAAGCGCTTCTAAAAGCGGCTTAAGCTCGTATCGGATTACAGATTAGAATTGTGATTGAATTAAAGTTTAACCAGTTAGAGCAAGTTTAACTAAACTTGAGTTTAGTGAACTTTGCTCTGATTGGTTGCCTGATCTAGTGCAGAAGCCTTAACGTCTTGCAAATAAAAGAACGCACCCCCGATGCATGTGTGCCGAATTAGCTATTATCGCACCAGTTCAGCAGTGCAGTTAAAAAAAACAAATCTACTGCTACGATAATGTGAAGAAACAAGATAGCGGCTTTGAATATATCGCACTTGTCGCTTCTCTATTGGCGCATTCCATTTGGTGACACAAGTCGACTATCTTTGTTATTCATTGAATGCGGAACAAAGACAAAATGATATTCGTATCGACTCGTGTCACTAAATAGAAAGCACCGTATTTATCTAGTTATACAGTTATACAATTCAACGGACAAACGATAAGATCGTCCATCTATGACAATTTCGTCATTCATGTCTGGTAAACGGCGCATGCGGGATTCGGCCGTTGCGCAGATCGCTACTGCGCAACCCCAACCAGATTCCGGACAGTAGAGAGATTATATAGAAAAATTTCCCAGTAGAGAGAAAAGAGAGAAAATTCGTTAGTGGAAAAGTCGCGAGGCGTAAGTAAATAAAGAAGATCGTGCGGGATATTTTGTGAGGCCGGGCGAGGCGGGCGCTTCGATAAATCGATCGACGGGCGGACAATCGGCCGCGACGAGGTGACTTTTCGCGGGGATACAAAGGAGAAGACGGGAGAGAGATCGACGAGTTGCGGGCTGTCTCGCGTGATTAAGGTTAAAGAACGAGAGCAGGTATACGCTCGGGCGAAATAGGAGCAGGCTCGAGCTGCCAATTAAGCAGCGGACTTTCTTGTGAACGAATCGCAGCATCGCCTCGAGTGACACCGCGTTCGCGACATCGAGCTCTTCTACGGATGTATCGTTGTCGTCGATCATCGTCGTCAACGTCGTCGTCAACTTTGCCCTGCTCATCGTCGTCACGATCATTCGGTCGCTTATTCCGTTTATATAAATGGAGAACCGACATCGCGATATCGTATACATATCGTGCCCTCGCGATCTCCCTCAAAGTTCACGTGTTGCCTAATGAACATACGTGACGAGGGAGACAGACTGGCGTAAAGATGCTCCGGAAAAATCAGTGATGGAAAGAGAGAGAGAGAGAGACTTCTCGGAGCAGAAAGGGACGGTGTGATCAGTAATACATAGTGTCAGTCCATCTCTCTCGCTCCGGTCGCGTCAGCACTGTTCACCCACCCTCCTTACCTACCTATCCACCCACTTCGTCCTCTCTCTCTCTCTCTCTTCGTCTAACACCTCAACCATTCTCGCTCCTTCTCACCCTCCCCTCCCTCTCTCTCTCGCACCTCCCCTGCTCCGCTACTTCTCGCGCAGTCGTTTTCCCCTTCGGAGCTCGCGTCAGAAAACCGTCGAAAGACCGTCGTCCTTGCGTATACGCGACGCTCGCGCGGAGTCGTGGAGGTGCGCACCGCGCGAGACAGAAAGGGAGACGACGACACGGAATTTTTACGTGTCATGCCCCACCACACACCGGCCTTCCGTGGATTTTCGCGTAGTAGGTCTCTTTCTGTTATGGCGTAGCCAGTAACCCTCTCTCATTCGCTCCTCCCCGTTTGATGTTTCTCGCGCTCTGCCTCTGCTCTACGGCTCTTCGCGAACGCCACCAACAGCTGTTTCGTCCGATCGTCGCCCTCTCGTGTGGTTCGCGTTTCGCTGTGAACGAAAGACAGAGAGAGAGAGAGAGAGAGGGGCTGGAGGAGAGGGGGCGGATCGAGCGTCAGAGGGTGAAGAAAGAGACGAAGACGAGTAGGTGCGAGAAGGAGAGAGAAAGAGAACGGTGACCCTCTGTCTGTCTGTCTCTATATACCGTGCGCATGGGATTTTTTCTTCCGTCGTCGATGACCTCAACGTCACGCACAGCGAACGAGAACTCTCTCGATCAACCTAATAACGAGTGCGGTAACACGAAAGACATCGTCCTCCCCGTCGTCGTAATTGTCATCGTCGTCGTCGCCGTGGTCATCATTGTCGTTGTGTACAGGGGCGTACGCGAGGTTTCACATCTCGTGTGTGTAATCGCGCGAATTCCGGTACGTACGTCTCTCCTTTGTTCGTTGCATCTTTCGCTCTCTTTCTCCCCCCTCCCCCCTCCCCCTTATGTGTCTCTCTCTCTCTTTCTCTACTCCACTCCGATCTGACAGCTCCTGTCAAAACGAAACTCGCAGTTGCGTCGCCCGTCATCGCCCTCTCTCGTCTCTCGAAGTTTGCTCGTGTTCAGTTTTCGCGTTCGGTCTCTTTTCTTTTCTCTCGCAGAGCCAGCGGACATACATATGTACAATCTGTTTCGTTCGAAACGCGGAAGGTGAACAGCTGAGACAAACAGACCTCTGTGTTTCGGGCTTCCGTTTCCGACGAATCAATCGCTCGCTTTCTCGCTCACTCATTTGTTCTCTCGCTCGTCCATCTTCTGCGTCGCGAAGAGAAGCATCGCTCGTGCGTCCACGTTTACGTCGGTCCCCCCTGGACGGAACGAGCAACAGTGTTCGCGCAGAATGTTCGGACGGCCGCGATCGGCCGTCACCGCGCAAGGACGATCGAGACGCGCCGATGCTCGCTCGCGACGCGATTAATTATTTTCCGCGACGGGATAATTCGGAATAGTCGAAGGTGCGTTCGGCCGCGATGCGTCGTCCCGCCGACGCGTGAAAACCCGCTCGATAAGTCCGCGTCTCGCGCACACATATGGGAAAAAACTGGACAACGTGTCCCGCTCTGTTTCAGTTAGAGAGTAAAACGGTTGCGGAGCGTGTGTGTGTGTAAAATAAAATCGCAAGCACTGTCAATTACTTAATACCAAGAGGGTGACAACTTTGCATGTGAGTAGAAGCGAAGTGTGTAATACTGATCGAGCTATGAGAGATCCTACGAGGATCTCGTTAGCACACTGTCTGTCAGATAAAGAGCGAGATTATTGAGAATAATAGTGTCTGTGTGTTTACGCAACAACTTAAAACTGGTTTAACAACTGCTACAATACATATTTATATGAACAGCATAAAACTAATCTACTGTACTATAATACTATGTATATGCACAATCGTATTACAACTATATATACATGCGACACTAGTAGTTCGAGCATTGAAAATGTCAGATCAATCTTATGCCGATCATGTAAACGTATATTGGGTTGTCCGTATGGATGTTATACTAAATCAGTTTTAGATCACTACATACAAGTATAATCGCTAGTCAAATCAAGATACGTTACTTTCGATTTTGCAAACTGACTGATCTCAGAATGACAGCTTACGACAGGATACATAATCTTTCTTCCTTTGCAGACCTTAACGCTTAGGTGAATATTCGTGATTTGCTAGTCTTGTGACATTCACAAGATCGGCAAGCAGGATGTCAGTATTGAATCAAAGCGGCGACGATGCGGTGGAGTGCCCGTTGTGTATGGAACCGCTGGAGGTGGACGATCTGAATTTCTTCCCCTGCACCTGCGGGTATCAGATATGCCGTTTTTGTTGGCACAGAATCCGTACCGACGAGAACGGCCTGTGTCCCGCGTGTCGGAAGGCCTATTCTGAAAATCCGGCTGATTTTAAACCCCTCACCAAGGAAGAATTGTCAAGGTATTTGTACAAATGAGCCAAGTACTAGGCATCTCGTCTACGAGTTGCGTCAGGCGAATGATTCATCATCATGAGAATTAACATTCCTTTCGCTTTGCTTTCCTTCCCAGGATAAAAGCTGAGAAAAGGCTAAAGGATCAGCAACGGAAGCAGAAAGTTATGGAAAATCGGAAGCATCTAGCAAACGTGAGAGTAGTACAAAAAAATTTAGTGTTTGTAGTAGGATTACCATTGCGACTGGCAGATCCGGATGTGAGTATATTCTCAGTAACGTAAGATTCCCTTTGTGTAATCGATCGATGAAACCGCGAAGACCGTTCCTCCGCGCGAACATCGTTTCACGAGAGAAAAGAAAGAAAGACAAAAACAAACGAGAAGGAAGAAATTCAATCACGATACGATGATACTTCGCATGCTTTAGGTTTTAAAGAGACACGATTATTTTGGAAAATTTGGGAAGATACACAAAGTTGTAATTAACCAGAGTACTTCCTACGCAGGGTCTCAAGGCCCCAGTGCTTCGGCTTATGTTACTTACCAAGTGAGTTGTTTCATTTACTTTCTATTCCGCACGCTTGTGCGTACAACACACACCGTTCTTCCACTATTTTCTCGAAAGAGAAAGACCGACGGTATTCTTTAATACGTCCGAATGTGTCGTCATCAGCGTCAAGAGGATGCGCTACGTGCTATAGAGGCTGTGAATAACATTATTATGGATGGACGGACAATAAAGACATCATTGGGAACGACCAAGTACTGTTCGCATTTTATGCGTAACCAAGCCTGTCCGAAGCCGGATTGCATGTACCTGCACGATCTCGGGGACCAGGAGGCATCGTTCACGAAGGAGGAGATGCATATGGGGAAGCATCAGGAGTACGAGCGCAAGCTCGTGCAATCGTTGCATGCACATGCATCTTCGGTACAACGGTAGGAAGCAACTACGCCGAGTATATAAACATGACCTCCCGCCTCTCCCTTCCTCCCCCCCCCCCCNACGCATATGGATAATGTGGTCTTTCGACCCCTCTGATCAGGAAGCCGACGCCGTCGCCACCTGTAACCGGCAGTATTGTTAGGGAAAGCGGAACCGTGAATTCACAGACCAAGGAAGCATGGCCGTCGTTGCAGCCGGGACAAACGAACAGTAAGCCCCGACCTTTAACACCTTTAATAGCTCCTCAGTGGAGAGAAAAGAGTGCACTACGTACTAATATTCTGTTTTCAGACACACAAACCAGTTGCAAGGAAGTATCGCCACCTGTGCAAACAGCCCCGCAGCACAGCAACAACGTGGGGAACGCGAGCGGCGGCGGTGGTGGTGCGTTAGTTCAACAAGGTCACATACCCCCCGGGGTTGTGAGCGCGCAGCATCAACAGAACAACAACAATAAGGGTGAAAGTGGTGTTGTCGGTGTACGGCGGGGTAAGAATAACAGCAGCGAGAGCAAAGCGCAGGCGGCACGGAACAAGCACAAAAATTGTCAGAACAAGGAGAAGCATTGTGGTGGTGGTACACGTACGACGTTGCGAACCGAATCGAGCTCGGCCGGCGGCGGCGGCGCAACGCAAAACAGTAGTAGTTCGCAAATTAACGGGCAGAAGGACATAAGAAACTTTTCCGCCGATACGAACAGTGAAATGTTGCAAAAATTGGGTAACAAGTGTAAATTGGAGCACCAACAGCAGCAGTCGTCGTCACAACAGCAACAACAACAACAAATTAGCAAAACATCAAAATTAGTTCAACAGTCGCACGAGGTTAAAATAAACGGTGTGTTACAAAACGGGGATCGTCGGCACTCGGACAGTGAGACGGATCAGCAGCGCGAAGGTAGCACACCGGCCAGCACGATCTCGAGCACGGAAGACTCGAACCTAAACCACCAAGCCGAACATTTGGCTGAATCGAGCGAGGAGAACAATGGCGCTGTTCTTTTGGGTGAGTTGCTCATAGTCGTGATCATTTCTATATGTTCCTATTTTCTGCGATGAAAGATAATCGTACGTAGAGTTTTGCGAGAGAAAGATCTTCCAGACTAGGTTGTAACGTGACCGATGAGAAGTGTGATAGACGCAATTCGGCCTGTAGGACTCGTTATTAAGGAGTTTACACTGACTTGACGACCGTATGCATAATCACTTGAACACGTCTTGAAACGTGTTAGCGACGTCAAAAGATTATTTTTGTTAAATAGTTTGTACAACGAAATGTCAATAAGAGAATAACTTAATTATGCTAGACCCCACAAGTGTGACTAAATTGTCCTGAACTAAAGACTAAATGTTATTGTATAAGTTACACTTACACTTGTTATTGATATTTCTATTGGATATTTTCTATTTTTAATTATTCTTCTTCCCTTTCTGTCTTGAAGCGAAAGAAGGTATATGTCAGTTTATTCAAAGCGAATGATAAATCCGTTAAGATGAAGATGATGTAAACGGCATTTATATATATAGATATATAAATGATTTCTATGCTTCCCAGTCTCTGGATTTTTCATCGAAATTAATTTAATCGTTCAGTTAATTTAATTGCTGAAAATTCATTGGCAAAAATTACAGTACAGATCGCGACTATACCACGCTGATATATCTAGCAACTGCAGTTGTGATACAGCAAAGTGTTGATTTAATATAGTGTTTGTATAACAAATCACGAGTAATATGAGGAGTGTCTACTTTCTTTGCGTTTGAATGTGTTACGTTGGACAGTTTGGATGCAACAGATAATAACGAGTAAATCTAAACGATGTACACAGTATGTCGATGAGCCAAAGTGTTTTATCATTATATTTCGAGATACTGTAGAAATATCGATCAATTGATATATACTGATATATATAAATATATATATATATATATGCCAAAATAAAGAGAATACTTGAAAATAAAACAGTAATAGCCGTTTTTTGTGTTTTTGTGTACACACACTTAACTTTACTCCTTCTTATACAGATTACGATGAAGCAAGTGCTGGCATGGACACACACGTACGAATTGCTCGATTATTTTAAACAATTGGTATATATTGCCTGTATATATATATATATATATATATACACACATATATATATATATATTCTTCGAAATTGTTTGCGCGATTATATGCTATTTTATGCCCGATACTCTCAACCAGCAGATTATGTTCGAATTACTAGTAATTACAGCATATGCGGGTATACTTGTCGCATACGTTTGCCTGAAAGAAGTAGTCCAAATAACTGTTTATTCTGGCATTATAAGAGTAGTAGAGACAACAACTCTGCCACGTCGTGTAGTGTAGAGATTTTTCCGTGTCGTCTTTAGGTACGTCTCCAGCTAGCACAAATTCATCGCAAGGTGCCAATCAACCACCACCGCCGGGGCTGCATAATGGATCTCAGATTCAACACAACCACCGATCGATCTTTCAGGCGGACAATAACAGTTTCTTCAGTTCGAATAGCTTTCAGAAAATTTCTACCACCACCTCAATGCCACCTAACTCCCTCTCAGGCATGTACAAGTTCTACATTTTTTTTTTCTTCTGTTGCACGGTATTTCGCTATGTTTCATTCTTTTTTTGTCACGTTTAACTTTACACTCACGTTATTTTACTTTCAACGAGAGAGAGGATCGCCAATGGGTTGCTTGCTCAGAAGTTTTGTAAGATCGGAGGGAGAGAAAGAGAGAGAAAGAGAGAGAGAGAGAAGGGGAAAGATAGATAGGGAGGGAAAGAGGGCAAAGAGAGAGACAGGGAGAGAAGGAGAGGTGGTAAGGGTAGAGAGGGAAAGAGAGAGAGAGAGAGAGAGCTTGTAAATCTTACAACTGAGTGTATGCGTGGAGAGGAATGATATATTGTAATTCGATATATAGCGAACACAAATCTGGATTGGACGAGCACGGGAGTGGCTGCGATACCAGACTCATTACCGTCGGTCCATTCCAGCGAAGATTGGCAGGCGGCTTTCGGCTTTCAGACCGAGTCTTCTCGAACCAACCATATTATACCGAAGTCCAGCCCCTCCGACTCGCCCAGAGTAACATTCAATTCTGAAGGTTTTGTAGACGAGGAGGTTTACATTACCGCACCGTACACGACCACGCTCACAGAATCATCCGGTACCTTCAGCAATATGATAGTAAATTCACCCGCGTCTAAATTCATGGCGGACTTTCAACAAAATTCATTACAACAAAGGCTTACTATGCAGGTGAGCTGAGCGATAACGACATTATCGAAATTTTTATCCCTTATTTTAACGAATCAAGAGGCGGCTTTACGCGTTCATTCGTTTAATCCGAGCGAGCTCTTCTTTTTTTTTCTTTTTTCTTATCTCGCTAATATTGTCTGTATGACGTTCCTAAGGCACAGCAAAATCAAGAAAATTGCGAATATATAAAGCAGAATGGACACGCTACGTTGGAGGAGGTCCGGAATCACCATGATGCGGGTTCAGACGTGAAAGCGGACGACGATTTAGGATTCGATCCTTTTCACGAGACGCAGAAAGCATTAGCCGAACTTATGGAGAACGAGATGCAGATACAACAGCAGAGGATATTCCAGCAGCAGCAGCAACAGCAGCAGCAACAGAGAGAACGGGAAGAGCAGAATAGAGTGCAACACCAGACCTTTGCGACTCTCAACCAACAACACTTTCCACAAGTAATTCTCCCGCTCTTTGAGAAGTTTCGGGAAAAAAATTAGCATAACGTAAGGAACAAGTAGAAATTGGGAAAATTCGAGAGAAAAGAAATTAATATATGTAGAAATTAGTATAACCGTGCACCGTATAAGTTATAAGTGTTAACTTATACAGGGTGTCCCAAACTAATCTCGGTTCCCGTGGTGTACAAGTAGAACGGGTGAAACTGAACAGAAAAGTCCTATACCATTTTACACAGAATTTACAATTTAGCGTTTTTACAAGAAAACCTTGCGGAGCAAAGTTGCTCACAATGACGAAATACTGTTTCAGGTTGCGCATATAGCACACTTGCAGCAACAGGCCCAGCATTTGCAAAATCTACAGATGCTTCAGTCGCATTCCCTCCTGTCTCGTCTTCCACAGAACCTGTTACCAAGCGGCGGCGCGCAGAGCCCCGCTCAGAGCACAGTGACGGCTGCCAGTCTCGGACAACGCAGCCGCCTTCCACCACCGGGTTTCCCTGGATCCACGCCAAATCACATGAACTCATTCGGACTCGGCATACCGCGGCCGGCTCCAACGAATAATACTCTCTCGGGTTAGTATTTCTCCACCCTTTTCCGCAACATGTATAGTGGCCCAAAAATCAGTTGCTGTTTTGAATTTCCTAGGGTTCTAGTACAATCTGGAGGAAGAACTTTAAACATACATTACTTGTCAAGAAAGTTATGAATTGTTCAAATCAGCAACCAACTTCCAGGTCACCCTTATATGTATATCTTGATAAAAATCGATCTCAATTTAGTGCGCAAAAAAAATCTTTCAAATCTCCCAATGATGTGTCTTTATTCGCATAAATTTCTCTTTGTTTTGTTCAGCACGAGCACTTCAAGATCCTTCTCCATTCTTGTTTACTGGTGATTTATTTGTTCAGTGTTGTGTTTGCAGGAGCACAACCGCCACAGCAGAATGCATACCTTCCCAACGGGAGCCCGCTCATCAATACGCAAAGTAAACATTCCTTCTATATTTTCTTTTTCTCTTATTATTTATCTCGACGACAGATATTCGCGATTTAACGGCTTCTATTCGAATTTCAGGTATCGGCAAGTGTGCGGGTGACACGGTGTATACTCTAAAAGAATGGTGCGACATCAACAATCAGCAACAGCAACAGCAACAGCAATTCCATCACCAGGCGTTGCACCAGAAAGGAGGATGGAATAATTTTGGACCGATCGCAGACTGGACCTCGATTGATCCGGCCATAGTTAGTTCGTCTAGACCTCTTCCATTCCAGACTACTAGCACATGGCAGTTTTCTCATATTCATCCTTCTCACACCGTAACTCACAATGCGCAACAGGTACTCAGAACTTCACGAAGCTTTTTCATGCGAAGTATTCGATAGTGCGGCCGCGGTCTTCATAGTCGGATCTTACGTTTAACATCGTTTTAAATTTATCTTCGGATAAAATTCTACTGCTCAATATGTGGAGGGAAATCCTATTTTCCCTATGTATAGATATTGTATCGTTCAACTCTAACTGTAAATGTCACGATATTCACATTTCCTTTCATACAGGAACAGAATGCATCCGCTCAACATTGGGCGATGCAACCACCTCCCGGCTTCGCTGCACCGACGAGCACGGGACAACTGAGTAATCCGCAACCGAGCACAACCGCACAGCCGCACACTAAGCTCATCTCCACAGGATCGGAAATCGAGAGTAAGTTGGTCGCGATAAAGCTCCGTGCAAACTGAAAAATATTACAATGCTGCCGCGGTATCGAAATATATATAGGGCGTCTATGATATTGCAGACCTTTAAATCTTATGCGAGGGTGAACGAGTGGCGAGTCATAAAAGTGTTTCTCCGGACGTGGCAAGATCAAATATCCAGCTAATGAGAGAGAGAGAGAGAGAGAGAGAGAGAGCGAAAAGAGAACGAAAAGAAAGAATGAAAGACAAAGAAACATGATGAAAAAGCGAGAAGAGTCGATTACGTACGTTTTCCTCTAACACATGTCCGTGTCTCATATTTTATTCTTAATCCATTTTGAGTTTACTCTCGACTCTCTGAGGCGAAAAAAAAGTGTCGGAATACAAGTTCGCGCATATGAAATGTAACGAGATATTTATGCGTTAATACACTTCTCACTTCGATATTTCTCCGAACTGTAGCAAGATTTATTCGTTTTCTATTTCAAAGTCCGGCCCTAACATTGTAACGAGAAACGGAAGTTCGTGTCGATTCCGAGAAATGCATTGACGAGAACCGATACTCGGCCAATGAAACTTTTTGATAGGAAGACGATCGTAAAATTCAAAAACTCTCTACGCGTTTCCTTCGGATGATAATCATCATCAGGATTCTGTTTTCGTTCGTGACTCATTCGAACGGAAAAGTATCCTTCGTTTGCGAATATTCGACATTAAGACATTCAGAGGGAAAAATAAAATCGGCGGAGGCGAAACCTAACGAAACTTCGATGTCTGTTGATTGTTTGTATTATTTAAAGCTATCACACACACATACACACACACACACACACACACACACACATGTGATGAAGAATGCGTATTTTAATCTGCAGAAAAGGTTTTATTCTGATTAATTCGAAGGCAGACAAAGAAAATTCATCGTCAGGACTGGTTACTTTCCCCTGTCCGATAATACGATATGCGTCATGCACATTATTCTGCTGTTTTACAGTAGCACCTTTGCGAACCCGAATGTCGCTGAGAAACATATACTGGCATGTTTTATGTGTTTTATGCGGTAATTTTTAAATAGTCTCGAAATTCTTTTATCGTTGATTTTAGGACGATGAGTCAACAATATCAATAATGTTATATTGAAGAAGAAAAACGGCGTGTTTTTTTCCTGTTCTGCGCACATAATTCTTTTCTGCTCGACGGTGTCATTTCGTCATATCGTATTACGACACTTTAAGTCTCTAATTCGCTACACAAAGTGAATAGAGATTAGCTTAAGAATTGGTAAACTTGGTTTCGACAATTGTTTCGTCGAAGAAGGCAAATGATAATATCGAATTGTATCGTGAACGGATCGGGCGCGGGTCGAGTTTCGAATTTTAAAGACTTCTGTACTCACATTACATGGGAATAGCGATACCTTTTCGATTTCTCGACAACAGGCTAGCGATGTTGTACGTCTAGAAAACCACAGATGGCTGTCTAACGTATTAACATAGCCTCATACAAGACACATACACACACACACACACACACTACATACCCATGCATACAAATATACATCCGCGCGCGAGCGCACACATACATATACACGAGTATATACATTCACACATTACAATGTATTTTATTTACGCGAACTGAAATGAGAAAGAAAAAAAAATAACAGACTGGGAATATGATAACACGTGTGTACGATAAAATGCGAGAAGACGTCTGAGCGCGATGTACCACGATGTGTACATAACAACACGGCGGCGTTGTGTCGAATGGAGTTATTCCCGTGGTGGGATTATTGATCGTGTCTGCTGCTTTCATGGATGGAATAACGAATGAATACGTCACATATACAAGAGAATGAATAAGATAATAAAACTATAATTATAAAATTTAATTCTCTCAGTAAGATAATCGAGAAATATACGATAATGCGCAATGAAACTTTGTTGTGGTTCTAGTCGTCTTCTTATTTCTTCTTTTCGTATGTATCCCCCCTCCCTCCCTCCACCAAACAATTTTCAACCTATCTCTGAATTTACACGTTTGCTATACGTTCGATTGGACGTTAAAGAATTTTTACGTTGACCACATCGTATTAGGTCGCCCGAAAAAAAGTTCGGTTCGATGTCTGAATCAAATTTGATTGTTGACAAACTCAGCACAAGTCGCAGAATTCGATTAACCGCATCAAAAGTTACAAGTGATTAAATGTTGCAGTTGAAAATTTCACATTTCAATTTTTTTTTTCTCTTGAACAGAAAGTAGTAATTATTATCTGTACGACGTGATGTACAGCAGGCAAGGCTCTACCAGCAAAATCTTTGTTTCTTCGAAAATACAAAATGGCGGTGTTGATTAAAAAAATTGATTTTTTTAATTTACCGCTTTGTTCTTTGAGATAGGCGAAACCGTAATTTGAACAGTACCGGTACTTTCATTGTCCAGAAAACCATAACCTTTATTTCCAATAGGAAACCAATCTAACTGTACAAATGCATATTTCTTCTGAGACAAATAAATCTTACAAAGAATAATCTTATACGATGGGCCTATTATTTATTTTGTAATATGTATGTCCTGTTATATTTTTATATCTGTATAATTGTATAATTAACTCTTATAACTCTTGGATAAATACATATTTGTCACAAATATTTCTATAATTAATATAGTCATTGTTATAAACTAATATATAGACATATGGAAAACAAATACAGTTATAAAACGTTCCCTTAAGAGATGTTTTTTCTCTATGTTATATTCTTTATGTTATACTTTCTTGTACACGATCACCAGAATCCTACTTAATTTTGAAGTAAAATCTAGGTTTCCTTGATTAAGTCATGTCTACGATTTTATTTCTTTTTTAATCGAGTTGCGTTTTTTTGATTTTTTCCTAACCTTGCCATCATAATTAACACCAAGAAGTGGATGTCTTATTCTCAAATCATCAGGAAGTACAGGCATGCTGGAGTTCTCTAAAGGTATTGGCTCCACTTTTAACATTCCAGACAATTTTCTTCTTACTGTTAATAAACCCACAGGTTTGATATTCACTATATAAAAAGTATTAAAATAAGTATGTGATTAAAAAATAAATGCATCATTTTTTGTCAATATTCCAATAAAACAAAGCAAATTACCAGTTTTGTACAGTGGTTTCTCCTTTCCAGTATTAAGGATGCATGTAACGTTATATGAGATATTACGAGCGACTGCGCAATATCGTTTCTCTTGAATTTTAATTTTTGATTTGTCGCCCAGAATTATCTTTTGACCGTGAAGTTCCTTTGGATCTATCTGTGTGAGAACAAAATATATTACACCTTGACGTGACAAGCCAGGATTTTTCAATAGCATTACAGGATGACAGCAAACTATGTAACGATAAGAATGCTTATTCTATTTTTTCTTTCTACTCCTGCTATCAGTTCATGTTATATAATATTAGCCTAAATAACATTAGTCTAAAAGCAGGCTATGTAGGAAAAGCTACGAAATAAAACATACGTATTATTTTTAATACTTCTAACTTATAAAAACTACATCAAAATAACTGTAATACATTCCTATATTAATGCTCACTGATTTTGGAATATCCATAATCCAAATCTCTTCACTGTCTGATACTTCATCCAGATCGAAAGATTCCGGAGATACAGATTCCACATCTAGTATTTCCTTTTGAATCAATTCTTGGAGCTGTGGTATATAATACGTAATATAGAAATACAGTTTCCTCAGATTATTCTTTAACTCCAAGATTTTATCGATTATGGGCCTGTTTTCCTAGCTGAACTAGACCTGCACCTTTCATCCTTAGAGAGAAGCAAATACACCTGGAAAAAGGACAAATTAAAGGAGAAAGGATCAAAGTATGGCAGCATTAGTTCAGCTAAAAAGAACAGGCCTTCTATCACTTACATTGCGCGGTCTCGCAGGACCAAGTGCTGACGACAACAATCTCTGTGATGAATTGCTTAAATTCTCAATATCACCATCTGACCGCCTAATTTCGTTGTCAGTTGATTTCTCACTGAACGATCTATCGGGTTTCTTCAAGATACTCCTACGTGATTTAACCACAGGACTGTTGCTCGCGGTCGGTGGTTGTATCTTTGTATTTATCTTAATGGATTTGCTGCGTCGAGGGTGCTCAGGCGGGACATCCGTGGCGTCCTCCATCAAAACCATGGACTTGTTTAATTGTGTGTTCAAGTGCGTTATTGAATCTTCTTGACCAGAGTCTCTCATATTTGCTAAATTTTTTGGAATAGATTTTCTATGTTATTGTTAATGCGTGCTCGCATTTTCTTCTCTTCGATTTAAACGCATGTATGCTCACGCGCGTTTGAAAGGTTAAATATGTTCAATTCTAACCAATATATTCAGAATATTTGTCTTCTAGATAAATTTCAGATAACGCAATATATGCAAGATTAACAATAATAACGAATATAACAATTATTTGTTACATTCTATGTTAACAAAGCCATACCGAATTAAAGGGATCCTCGATTAATATTTAACAATTTTCATAGATCACACTCACTCACTCACTCTCTCTCTCTCTCTCACTCTTTCAACGCAGAGTCTACAATGAGAAATTAAGACGTAAGATTTAAGAAATTGACCAATCATAATTGATTTTTCTTCTATAATTCGACTGTGATTGGTCAATTTCTTAAAGTTTAAGGCCTAAAATACCTGTCATAGATCGACACTTAAGCCGGCGGCACACGATGCTTGTTTTCGCAGCATAAAATGGCACCTTTAGGCTTGTATCACACTATGGATTAAGATTGAGATTGGATTGAAGTTTGACCAATTAGAGCAAGTTTATCTAAACTCAAGTTTAAAAAAAAATACTAACTTACCCAACTCTCATAAAATAACGTTTGCGATTGATTCAGCATGTTTGTAAAATTGTTGTCTGAACACTTCTTTTACTCCAACGATCACCAGTCATAAAATTAATATTGACAAAATCATTAGAAAAGGGGTTAAGGAAAAGGTTCTATGTCAAGTTAATTTTGTGACGATTTTATAAGTGTACAAAAGATTATTTACAATAGTTGTAAAATGTGCAGTAAGTTCTAATTGACCAATTAGACTATTACGGTCTAAGAATAATCAAATGTAGTTGGTCAATTTAAGCTTATTGCTTACATTTTACTACATATTTTACAGCTAATATAAACAGCCTATAATACTTAACAAGTTGATTAATTTCTAAAACTAAAATAATGTATTTAACAACATAACAATAATATATTTTGACTATGCATCAGATGCCAATTTCCTTAAATCATCAATGGAGAAACGATAACGATGCCATTTTTCTTTTTCAGTCAAATCACAGGCTCCTCTTCTTTTGTAAAATTCTTGAGCTGGGTTCCAGTTAAGCACAATGAAATCTAACTGGTGACAATCGTTCTCAACAGCCTCCTGCAAAGACATTGCATTATATGCATATATGCATATCATATATATCAAATACATGATTATGACTTTAACTGACACTTTCACAATAGTTTTTACCTTTACAACAGACTTCAAGAGTTTATCACCAATGTGTTTTCCACGAAATTCAGGTGTTACATATATATCCTCCAGACACATAGCTTTCCCAACCCATGGGGAATAAATGTAATAAAACAGCGTATAACCGATGATTTTTTCATCAATGGTTGCCACATTACAGAAAAATAATGGTTGCCCATCGAAACCGTCTCTTTCTAAGGCTAAATAAATATTTTTCTCATTGTACCTTGTAATTATGACTTATGGCTTGTTTATTTTAGCTGAACTGGCTGTACTAATTCAAGAAATATATATACATTAAAACGTAAGAAACTCGGACGTACACTTCACACATTTCGATGTGTATAAAAATTTCTTAAATTAATACAGTCAGCTCAGCTAAAAAAAAACAGACCAGTAGTAAACAAATAATACATTGATTTATGATAGAAAACAAGGGTAAGTCTTACTTTTGTAGTCGATTTCCATCTGATCAGGCATCTTTTCGTATTCCGCCAATTCCTGCAAAATATGAGAAATATGATCAAGAAAGTTGAAATGGTATCATAAAGATAAGTGAATGATAAGTGACAGATAAGTGATAGATAAATGATAAATAAGTGATAGATAAATGATAAATAAAAGAATAATAGCGAATGTGCACAAGGATTATATTTATGTTAGAACATTATTTAAAATACTTCCACATTATTAACAAGAAAAATTTACCAATATTAAGTCTCTAATAGCTTTACAATCTTCTCGTTTAGCCTTTCTTACTATAACTTCCGCCATAACTAATTGCAGGATCAAGGTACTTCAAAGGTGCTTCCCAGCAACTTTCACAGGCGACACTGATAACTCCATACAGTTGTGACAGTAGCTGTCGTCGGCTCCGCTGTTATCAGTAGTCATCGATCACGTGACTGTCAGCCATGTTGTGGATTAAATGGGCGCTGAATTTGAACGACATCAAGGAACGTAGTGTTTCGCGTAAAGTGGTTGCAAAATTCAGAGAAATACTATATATGATTGTATAGAAGCTTTTAAGGTCTGTAAATATTAATAACAATGTGTACATGTGATAACTGTTTACGTAACCTTAACATCAGATGAGGAAAGAGAAAAGAAAAAGACGGCTGTTCTCCCATATCTCAAAGGTATAACAGAGCGAATAGGCAGGATTCTGAACAAACACGACATCAGAGTAATCTTCCAATTAAAAATACATATAATTTTATACTTGTTGTATAATTAATTCGTTCTTAAAATTACTTTATTTTCCTTCTTATAACATTCCATTTATAAATGATATTGATAAAGCTATCTTATATAATATTATTTCTTTGATGTTTTCTCACTCATTCACCTGAAAGTTAGTAGTTTCGAAATTTTATATTTCTTTAAAGCTTTACGAATTTATTATATTGTTAATATTAATATCTAATTTAACTCATTTAGTAAAACTTCTTAAATATTTCAGCCTATTTTTATAGGCTGCACTTGGATTTACGATTCATTGGACTGTTCACTGGACAGTTAAATACATTAGAGAAAGATGCCATATTAGCTACAGAACCGATTGTACGAAACTTTGGAAGTGTGTGAGAGTCGGTATTAACATAGTATTTCTCGTATACGTCTCTTGAAGCTGTGCACCATGACTATAAAACATAATTTATTCATATAATTTGTAAAATAAAAAACATTATAATGATTAATTAAAAATTATTTGAAGAAGGGAATGATAAATTTAAAAAAACCGTATAATCTAATTTTCCTTATATACTAACACATTTGTAAATAATTCTGGCTTACATTTACGAAGGATAAGAAGAAAAGTTGTTCGTCGGTGACGTTCTTCAATCCTGGCAATTTCAATTGTAGTTCCGCAGTTACCAAGCGTTTTTGGAATGCTGCGAAAGCAACTGCGAGGCCAACGTTGTCAGCGATATTTTCGTCCTTCGTAAGTAGACCGTTTATCTAAAAATAAATTGTAACTATATTCGATACAGGTTTTTCTTTCGCTGAGTTTAAAACCAAAATTGACGGAATAATTCGGCAATGTTACCGTCGTTATGTGTACGTACTTGTATAGGTTCTTCATCCTCGTCTGTCGTATTTAATATAAAATTGTTATATTGATCTACGAAACATTTTACTTTTTTGTCGAAAGCCTCAGTAGTTTTCTCATTATGCCATGAATGTTTATTACCAAACTTGTCGTACTGCATTCCTATACATTTTTCATACAAAATTTATGAGACAATAATATATCAACTAATAATAGACTGATGAGTAATGAGTGTTTATTTAAACTAACCATCACTATCGAAACTGTGTGCAATCTCATGTCCAAAAACCATACCGATAGCGCCATAATTAACTGCACTGAAAAGTAAAATGCGGATGCAAATTCCTGTTCTTGAGTTTAAAGTATTAATAATTCTTTTTATATTTTGTGCACTTACAGTGGCATACCAAGGGTAAAATACGGATACAGAATCTCAGCAACTGGTATACCTGAAAGTAATTAAGATAAATCTGTTAGTGGGGCGAAATAGCGTCACATTGGCTGCGTTTGCATTCAACGGTAAAAGCAGCTAGGAGTAGTGATCGTATAACTTTGTACGGAGTTTTATATGATATATAATCTTGGACTTATTAAGAATTTGAAAGAATACTGCAGTTACAGGTTGGATAATTACTAAGTGCTCCCTAAGCTGTTTTTTCCCGTTGAAAGCAGTCATTCAAAATACTAAACGCGTAATCGAATAGAAAGGAAATACTTATTCGGTTGTTCGTATAATCATAAAAGGGATTCTTAATTAGTGGGTGATTTGTCCATCTGCAATAATATTTCGTACATTAACAACATAAGGACGTAGAAATCATAATATATAATCTGTTCGATTAAGATTAAATAACTTGCTGCAATAAAATAAATAGGCTTACTCGTATCTGTCGACGGGTTCCCGAAATTTCTTGAAAAATCTTTCCTTTTCGTATATTAACATGGACAAAGCGTTTTTGAAATAATTCTCTCCCACCAGCAACTAGAAATCGATACACTTGATTATATTTTTATATGTTATATTATTTGTTTTTTCAATATTACGTCGATAATATGCGACGAATTTCGTACCCCTTCGTAACGTTCATTGAGTGCAGTCTGATTATTATACCATTCGGGATAACCAACTTGTAGTATCAAATTATCCAATTTAGCTATTATAAATTTCTTCGTACTATTATCAGCCCATTCTGAATGTAATATATGCTCTTTCATTTCCGTTTTTATTTCTTCCATCATTTTAATCGCCTAAAACAGATTAATGGAAAATTCTTTCATCTTTATTTATTTCAGTATTTTATTTATGAATATTTTTGACGAACGAAGAATTTAGAAACCTACAGCTTTTATATTATTAGTCACATTGTATCTCTTGATATAGAGATACGATAAGGCGTCTGACAATGTTATATAGTCAATGCATGTTTTCCACCTAAAAAAATAGGTAAAAATATATTTGGATGTCTCTACGAAATAGAAGTTATATTTTGTGCAGTATTTGTGACTTACCGCGGTTCTTGCTCGGTCACGTTGTATGCTTTATATTTTAATTCAAAATCAATGTCTCTCATGTTTTTATTCAGGAATGGTATAAATGCATTCACTAAGTTCCATTGTATGAAATTCACTGTGAAGAGAAATCGAACATTAGAAAATTACGTTTCAACGTATGTCCTTTCTTATACATGTATATTACCAAGTACACGTGGTGATGTGTCGTCTAACAAATGTGCCAATTTGTGCAGAAGCTCTTTATTGTATACAATCACAGGTTCTGAAGAGTTAATACTCACGTTAACATTTTTGAAAATAAACTGTATTGTTTGCAGCCAATTTATCTGAAAAGAATATTGTAGAATCGTATTGCAAAGCTGACGATGATGATTATTATAATCGACCACTTTTTTATATCTTCCTAATCCCGGGAAAAAAAGAACTTTGTCCTTTTCTACGAGTCTTTATTTGTGAAGGATATTGCGAAAATTTCTGGATTATATTACCTTCGCGGTTAGATTCTGTGGTTTTGCAAGATCGTAATATTCTTGTAATTCTGAAATCGTCATTTTAGTTTCATTCATATCCAGTCCCTTTAAAACTTCTTGCTCTGAGAGTTCAGTAATCTGTCAAAGTTAAAGCAGATGAGTTTGTATTAATTTATTTGTTTGTCGATTAAAGTTTTATGTTGCATTAGTGTTAAAATAATTACGTTTTCAAAATTAGCTTCAAAGGTATATAATTTTTTTATTTCTTCACTCATACTTATCGAATCTATTTTAACTTTCTTGTGTTTCGCAAAAGCTTTTATTATATATATCATTGTATCTAGATAAAGGTTCGGGTCCAATGAGGATTCATCTTCCTCCTCAAGTTCGTCCCATAAAAGTCCACTCAAAACAGAGTTATCTATTGATATCTATAAGCATATATATATATTTTGATTGTTTATATTGGATATGCTAATATTAATCACACAACTTGTGATTAATTAATTATTCGTGTACGTAAAACATGGTAAAGATGGGTTCTTTTTTATACATTATATACCGAAATATTATATATACGAAAATATTTTTTCAATAATGATTGCAGATATGTGGATCCTATATATCTATAACGTATATATCTATATCTCTATATTAACATATCCTATATATTTATATATCTATAATGCACACATACACATATACACAAAGTATATGCGTTATACGTAAATACAAGATACCGTTAGTATATGGCGGGTCGCGTCCTCTTCGTTAGTTTCATACTTAATATTAAAGAAACTGCTACCGGCAAATAGCTGATTGTAAGTATTGTCAATTTCTTGCCAGGTAAAATTTTTCAAGCCCGTGCTCGCTTTTCCCATTATAATTGGCCACCCTCCGTTCGCATCTATCAGTGTCATTATAGGTGTGAGTCCTTGCCTCTCGATCGCGTCTGCAGCATTACCGATACAAATTACTAAGTGTTCGTAAGATCATATTTAGATTTTACACAAAATTAACGACTATTTGTATCGCTATCGAACAACATTAAATGGTATTAACGGTACTTGTCGTCGTCATAGCGTTGATTAATCGTTTTATATTAAAATAACAAGAATGTCAAGTTCACGTACCCTCGTCCATGCATGAACGATAATATTGCTTGAGTTTCTTTATAAACGGTAGATCGTCATATTTGCTTTTACCCTCAAGCAACCCTGTGAAACGAACGAAACGTAAAAGATAAACAGTGGGACACAAAAGCGATGTCTGCTTCAAAAGTGACTATTGTTGCGGCTCCAAGAGGATACCTTCTTCGAAACAATTATATCGTTGTTAAGCATTCATGCGTCTTTTGTGATATACTGAAGTTTTTAATCACATGTTCCCGTATTCATTGCGTACCTTTTGCGCGACGACTAATTCTCAGAGAATATTTGTCATCCGTGGACCATTGTAATTCACTGGGTGGTATAGGATCGTGCGCCGGCCACGAACCGCATCCATAATTATAGAAATTAATACAAGGATCGGAAGAACCGTCGATACCACGTCGAATTGCCTCTCCTACGTCCGAGAAATAATATAATAACATTATGTCGAACAACTTTGAAGGCAATTAAAAAATCTTTGCGAAATTATGAGACGAATTTAGACACTATTTGTGTCCGTTAATACATTTTTCGCAGCATTTCGTAACGTGCGTTTCGATGTTTACATAGTTTCGCCTTTATTTGCACGTAACCGTCGACCTTTCTCATTCACTTTTATACGCGCTTATGTAAGATAGCTAAGTGGGAAAATTGACGTTACATCGACATATGTTATATGTTACATTTTGTCAACATACCGATTTCGCGACATGCATCACTCTTACACACATTGCAGTCAGCCAATTTACGAGTAGGAATACCAATCACTCTTGCAACTATTACAGAAAAACTGTAACAATGGAATAATTAATTGCGAAGCATTAAATTAATGACGTAAAAAAAATACAAAAAAGATACAAGGTCACTTTTTATACATGTATCACGCGCGTTCGTATAATGTCTTTACGATAAGTTGCAATTATGCTTATTTAAATGTATGAAATGCAAATTTGAGGAGAGAGAGGAAGAGATCAAGGACACTTCGTTGCTATAGTTGTTTGTGCATGGTAACGGACATCGAAGAGCTCACAAAAAACATATATCACTTTCATAATAACACTTCACAAGAACAATGGAACAATTATTTTCTTCTCGGTTATGCTGTTTCTTTCGCTCGTCTCTAGATTTTCATCCCAATAATATCAGAAATAAGAAGTGACAAGCGAGAAACGGAAGATTCGACACTCACAATAGCGACAAGAGACGCATGTTTACATCCGCGAGTCCTTTAAGACAGTTCTCTGTAGAAATGTTGAACACGTACTATTTGCCTGATAGATGTGGATCACTTTTAAATGAGTAATCCGGAGCGAGTCGATTGGTTGTTATACACAAACATGATTAATTGTTTCGATTTTCTATATTCGGTGTGTTGATTTCCGCGTTCCGCCGTCCGCAGATGATGGAACGCAAAGCAATGAGCCTTTCGTACAGGTTCTATCTCATACGAGATTTGTATCGTATTATGTAAAAAAATGCGTGCGCGTCTAGCATGGTATAATTAAGGAAGCGATAAGAGATGACTCAGAGATGCCAATTACATGCAATGACAGATGTAACATTGCGGACCAGAGCGGAAAACAGCGGCCGTTCCCTTGAAAATTCTGTTTATGAAGTAAGTAAATTATTTCTTTTGTACAAAATGCTTCAATGTATACGTTAGTAGTCCGATATTTCGACGCGCTATGAATAAATGCACGTCTGCATTCAAGAATCCGTTGGAACAAGACACTGTGCAAAAGTCAGACGTCTATTTTACTTCCACGATAGATACGGAGTATTTTTAAATCATCTGGAAATTGTGCAATATTTTCTAAGCGAGTTCGTCTCAAGCGAGCTCTTTTCAAACGAGTGTATCAGTTACGAACAACTACGAAGTAGTTGCTGATTTCCTGCGATTGTTTTCAGCAGTAACAAGAGGAATTCTAACTCAGTTGCCTTGTGAGAGCGGGGGAACTCGTAGATGCGGGGGATGATAACGTGACACGAATGGAGAGGGCGGGGAGGCTGAGGTCACGGGCTCTCCTCTGAACACACCTGAGTTAAAACTTTTATAATACTGTCTTCAAACGGTATTATATGTTACGCGGATTTTTATAAAAACAAATCAACCTCCAAATATTATTTTCGTGTATCAAATTATTCAAAGGAATAGTGATTGATTTGCAATAAACAATAAATAAATAAGCGGGTGGACCAAATTTCGAAGGAAATATAGTGAAACTGAGAAAATATTTTAGCCGTGTTTTTATGACGTCAATGTAATAAACGTATAACCTTACATTACTGAACTTTCAGTGTTATGAAATGGAAGGAACATTCAGGAAAACGTTATGTAGCAGCGGACAGATTCGTACAAGAATGGCAGTTTTTAGTAATTACGTTCATTACATTCGTCACGCGTTATTTTTGTCCCTCACTTTTGTTACTCAGTTGGAAACAAACGCACGTTATTCATATCAACAGAAAATCCTCGTAAGACTGTAAAACATGTGGTACACATAAACGGAAATGACCTTTGGTCTCATAAAGTGCTGATGTTATAACATTCACGTTTACGCTTGCGATCGAGAAGTTTGAATACAAATGTTAGAATAACAACTTATAATTCATTTGTAGACAAGCGACAATATCTAGTGGATATTAATTCACGTAATTTCTCACTAATTCGACGTTATGTCTTCGGGTTTTTTTTAAATATATTCATACCCGGAAACATTTAACTTTGCAGGTGTATGCAATTGATTTATTGCATTTTTAACGAACTTTTTATGCGCGGAGAGATATCGTTTCCAGAGACAATCTTGCAATAACATTGCGTAACAAACTTGTTACATATCCAACATTGAAAAATGGATGATGATATAACGATTTCAGGTTTGTCTGTTAATATTTCAAGCGGACATTTACCTAATGTAATTTATGAAAAAATGTAAACATATCTCGCACGTGGCGAATAAATTCTTAAACTAAATATAAATAAACGAAGATATTGTAAATATATTAAGTGTTATGTAAAAGCCAATTTGTATTACCGAAACGTCATAGTTGCATATTCAATGTTGTCAACAGATTATACAGGGTATAACTCGTTTATCGTTCTGTTGCTATTATAGGAATCATGGACTTAAATTTTTGCCGCAAATCTCCAGAAGCAACCTTGGAATTCCATATGGATTTCCTACACGGATTTCCACTTGGTTCTTTTCAACAAGGTATATAAATTACCGAAAAACTCATATGTAAAACATAAAGAACATATTAAAGTCCGCGACAGAGGATGCTCGTTTTCTCGAAAGATCTAGTAACGTATTAGAAATTAACCAATTGGGACGCAGCATCTAGTATGTTACTAGATCGATCGAGAAAACAAGCGTTATCTGACACAAACCTTACATCCACAATATTAGATCTCGGATCGAGATTTCTATGCGCTATGTCGGTAATATTGATTTGCTTAGGTATTAGAATTGTCAGTGATTTCCAGTAACTTTTATATCCGGCCGATAACTGTCGACTCGTGCAAAAACCAATGTCAGAGAGTTCGTTACCAGCGGGACAAACGGCGATGTTACGGTCGGTAATCACCGAGCGACGAGTCGGCGGCGCGCCGGCAGATGGCGGGAGCGATAAACGGCGCCGTCCGCGGCTCGGTCATTCAGCGAGCGGAAGCGGTCCCCGCCGTTTCCCGCGCGCGCCACGTCAGCTGATCGGCGCTGCGGCCGCGAGATGTCAACCGTCGCACGCAGGTGGTGCTCGCATTCGTAATGGCGTATGACGGCTGAGGGGCCACGGGCGAAACGGTGCTCGAGTTTTCGCGGATCCGTCGGTTTGGTGAACAAGTGTGCCGCGGCGTGTTGTCGGGCGGTCGCGGTAAGATGACCACGTCGACCGCGGTGTTGCCGTCGTACCAGCGCTTCGCGAACGGCGTGCCGGTGCCGTTGTTCTCGAGACGGTCCTTCCGTCCGCGCGAGAAGTACCTGATCCTACTGGTGTTCCTGACGTTCAGTGTCGTGTGCTTCGGCACCTTCTTCTTCCTGCCGGACTTCCGCACCGGCGGCGGCGCCGCCGTCAACAGTGTGTATCGCGTTTACCAACGCATGCAGAAGGCTGGACCCGACCTGCTGCTACCGGTACCGCCGCGCGCCTCTGGCGACGTCAAGGACTCTCGTTCGCTCGTAGGCGGTCATCCGAACGCGGTGCCGCCCGGTCATGAGGACAGTGATCACCAGGATGTCCACCTGGTCGAGGACAAGCAGAAGCTGCAGGTACGAGGTCGACCAGATATGACCCTTCGTGTTTCACTCTCCCCGCCTCGCTCGCTCTCTCGGACGCCTCGCGTCAGCTGTTAGGCGTCATCCTGCTTTTCGCGCGTTTTTCGAATTTTCGCCCCACGTCGAGATATCTCCTGCGAAGACAGGCGCGCATTTATTCGGACGACGCTGTGCCTCGAGTCGTGCCCCGTTTGTTTACATACGGCCATTGTGTGCATGGCGGACGCACGTGCGCCGCGCGTTGCGATTCTGTTTCAATGGACGATAACGATCTTCCATTGATCCGTTCCTTCCGTCGCGCGAACGCTGTTCGGACGCGTTTCTTCCCGAAACGATCGCGCGCCCCGAAGCGACGCGATTAGCATCGAAAAAGTTCGCCCGAGCGTAGAAATCCGCGACGCGTATCGAGCTCTCGATCGGCGTTTAAATTACTTCGCGGCGCTCAAGTAGTTCCCTCCGGCATTGTTTTCACGAGCTTGGGATTTTTCTGCGGAAACGCGCTGTTTTTCTCCCACGAATCCCGCAGCGGAACGTCTATGCTGTTACGTCTCGCTCGAGGTCACGGTTCGATGCTTTAACGCAATGTTTACATACATACGCACACACTGTTTTTCTCCGAAGGTGGACTGCAGGTGGAATTACGATCGCGTGTAACAGTTTCCCTCGGAATTTATCGCGTTCGTGATTTAAATCGGTTATCATGCGTGAATAGAGGTAATGATGCGCGGTCGAGTATCTCGAACATTTAAATAATTCCGACGGGCCGCGCACTGCGTGTGTGCGTGTGTGTGTACGGGCGATACCGGGACTTATGTTTTGTGTACATTTTTTCTCTCGCCTATTCAGAGCCGGCGGGTTTAACTCGCGCAAGGTCGCGCCGTGACCTTGGCCGCGCAAAGGAATTCCTTCGCGGATTGTCGAGCTTTTTACGTCGGGAATTGACGGCAGACGAATCAAGCCGATGCCGAGTTTCAGCGGTAAATGCCGACGTGCAAATTGGAGATGGGCTTACTTTTCAGTAACGGTTATGTCGATCATCATTCTTGTTTTTATGTAATCGCATGCAGAGAACGTAATTTACTCGGTTATGAACGCGTGACTCGTCGTTATTTCCGCTTTGCTCCGTGTTCTCTCATCGCGAAAGAAAATAATAACGAAGAATATCTCGATACAGGGGGCCTCGAGTCGCGATTAATTAAAATTCCCGCTACTCCGGGAACGTGTCGGCGTGTATTGAATGCTTTCGTGGAAGTCTAGTCTCGCCAAATGATCTCAGATAGCTCAGCTGGAAAATAGCGAGGAATTTCAAATAATACAGAGGGAGAGAACGATGATAAGACAGATAGGCGGGAGGGTCAAAAGTGGGAGATACAATCGTAGAAAATGAATTTCTGTCGAAATGTGTGAGGGAGATCAAAGAGAGGTACAACCGGAAAATAAATTTATATCGGAAATCCGGATCGAATATAAATGAACTGGTTAAAAGCGCGCTTTCCATCCGTGGATTTACGCTTTGTTTGGTAAAACGACGGAATATAAATTAGATTCCCCTCCCCCCCCCCCCCNCCGGGCGTTAATTAATATAGATAAGCCCGCGGTTAAAACACGGCTCTGTATGTAGCAACAAATGTAATTCATCGTGCTTGCAGACGCGTGACGTTGCCGCGTCGTTATTTCCGCTTTGCTGTTTTCTCCCGGGGAAAATAATCACGAGGAATATCCTGCTCGCCCTCCCCCTCCTCTCTTCCTCATCACTCCCATCGCCGTTTTGCACGCGCGCGGCTAACGTCGCGCTTTTTCGTCATAAATCAAACAGCGCGTCGTCGCGGTCGATTTTCGAAAGCGCTTCGAAGGACGGCTGCGATTACGTATAATAAAGACGAACGCGCGGTCGATTCGTCGCGCCGGTCGATCCTGGAATCCTGTAAATTGCGTCATTCCGCCTGGCAATATCCTAACTCTCCTCCGCCCGGAGCCGGTTAAAACGTTAAAACGCCGAACGGACCGACGCGACGTGCGGAATGCGCCGTGGCGTTGTTTTTCGCCTGTAAAGTACCAATGCTCAGACATGTTCACCGGGCAAGAGAAATTGGAATTTTACGAAGTAAAGTGTTCCTTGTGACATTTTTCTTCGGTATTTATTGGTTAGAGAAAGATTTGACTGTGATGACGGAATATATATTTTTGCGAAATATACTTCAGTTTTCTTATTAATTGCTTTATTTGTTCGGAATGAAATTTTATTTCGCCATATTTAAACAAACGTTTATTTTTCTACGAAACAAACCTTATATTTCACAAATGAATTTTCAAGTCTTTTTTTCTCAGTGTACCTAAACCTGAATATTCTCATTATTTTAGTCTTTAAATACGAATATTTATATTTTCAACATAAAATATATGTTAAGTGTATATTCATTAAGTATATATTCATTAATT